CGTTTTTCCTGTGTCTTGATGGAATGTGGTTTATTTCGTTGTGAGAGTGAATTTGAACTATTCTAATAAATGGCTATTTTGCCCGGTGACATTAAGATCTTCGTACACTTATAATAAAGCAAATTTATAAAAGATTGACTCTCATTCATGTTTTGATATGAAGGGTGGGTAGAAGGCTGGCAGATTGTAGTTTTGTAGGGTTTATTCCTGAATTCCCATCATTTCGAAACACCTAATCCTTTTATGATTTTATGGTCAGAGTCAGGCCCTCAGCCAAAGAGGGCAGATAGCCTCACAAATGGTAATCTGTTTTGTTTTTACGTCGTTGGTTCTCAAACTTTAAAGCTTGTAATAAATTAATTACCTTGGGAGCTTGTTAAGACATAATCTTCTAAACTCCTTGAGAAGATTCTGATTCGGTACTGTTGGGGTAGGGTTTCTAATTTGCCTTTTTTTTTTTTTTTTTGTTGGAGACGGAGTTTCGCTCTTGTTACCCAGGCTGGAGTGCAATGGCGCGATCTCGGCTCACCGCAACCTCCGCCTCCTGGGTTCAAGCAATTCTCCTGCCTCAGCCTCCTAAGTAGCTGGGATTACAGGCACCCACCACTATGCCCAGCTAATTTTTTGTATTTTTAGTAGAGACGGCGTTTCACCTTGTTGACCAGGATGGTCTCGATCTCTCGACCTCGTGATCCACCCGCCTCGGCCTCCCAAAGTGCTGGGATTACAGGCTTGAGCCACCGCGCCCGGCCTAATTTGCATTTCTGGTGAGCTCACAAGTACTACCAAAGCAGCTCATCTGAATTTCTCACTTTGAAGCTGGTAGTTGACCCCCTGAGGAGCACCGGCTGTGCCTTTTCTTAGCGTGAGGCCTTCCTTGGCCACAGGATGAGATTCCAAAGAGCAAGCCTGGGCAGTCAGCATTCATTAACCCTAGCATTGCAATCCACCATGGAAGAGCAGGGATCCCGGGCACCTTGGCTTGTGGATGGTGCCCTGCCTTGGAGCCAGTTGTCTCCCTTTTTCTGCAAGGTGAGGCTGCACAGATGTCCAGCATGGGCCAGGTTTTTCCATTACGTGTTGTACTGAGAACATCGTACATTTGTGCAAAATAGCTCCTATCCTTGCTGCCCTGCTTTCTGGAAGCAAAATTTCTGGGGTGAACGGTGCCAAAAGCTCTGTGGCTTCAAGTGCAATTAAGATTGGTTTAGGAGGCTGAGGCAGGAGAATTGCCTGAACCCAGGAGGCGGAGGTTGCGATGAGCCTAGATCGTGCCATTGCACTCCAGCCTGGGTAACGAGCGAAACTCTGCCTCAAAAAAAAAAAAAAAAAAAAAAAAAGATTGGTTTGACTCGCCGGGCGCGGTGGCTCAAGCCTGTAATCCCAGCACTTTGGGAGGCCGAGGCGGGTGGATCACGAGGTCAAGAGATCGAGACCATCCTGGTCAACATGGTGAAACCCCGTCTCTACTAAAAATACAAAAAATTAGCTGGGCATGGTGGCACATGCCTGTAATCCCAGCTACTCAGGAGGCTGAGGCAGGAGAATTGCCTGAACCCAGGAGGCGGAGGTTGCGGTGAGCCGAGATGGTGCCATTGCACTCCAGCCTGGGTAACAAGAGTGAAACTCCGTGTCAAAAAAAAAAAAAAAAAAAGATTGGTTTGACTCATGGAATTAATTCACTCCTTGGCAATAAAATGTTCTAACCTTTTGCAAGAGTTTTAAACTCAGAAGTCTAATTGTGCTTTTTTGATAGTGGTGATGTTGAAAATTTTTTTCATTTACCTTTTTCTTCATTCATCTCTATCTTCTTTCAACTGGTGAAGGGTTTTTATCTCTATAAGCTTTTCTAACAATGGTCCATTATCACCAATATTTTCCACCCTCTTAAATTTTTTTTGGCAGTGGATAGATTTTTATGTAGTTAATGTTTCTGTTCTCCCATGTCCCCACCCTTTTAAGTTCAAGAGCTCCTAATTTTCTTCCATAGAAATTTGATGAATATTTTTTCGGGTTTTTCCTGGTGGGATTTTTACTCTTTACTTTATTTTTGAGATGGAGTCTCACTCTGTCACCCAGGCTGGAGTGCAGTAGTGTCATCTTGGCTCACTACAACCTTTACCTCCGTGATTCAAGTAATTCTCCTACCTCAGCCTCCTGCCTTGGCTTCCCAAAGTGTTGGGATTACAGGCGTGAGCCACTGCACCTGACCCTGGTGGGTTGGTTGGTTGGTTGATTTATTTAGAGATGGAGTCTCACTCTGGCGCCAGGCTGGAGTGCAGTAGCAGGATCTCGGCTCACTGCAACCTTTGCCTCCTGGCTTCAAGTGATTCTCATGCTTCAGCCTCCCAGGTAGCTGGAATTACAGGCACACGTCACGACACCCAGCTAATTTTTATATTTTTAGTATGGATGAGGTTTCACCATGTTGGACAGGATGGTCTGGATCTCCTGACCTTGTGTTTCGCCCTCCTCAGCCTCCCAAAGTGCTGGGATCAAACAGGTGTGAGCCACTGCACCTGGCTGCTGGTGGGATTTTTATAAAACCATTGAACATTTTGGGTTTTTTAAAAGACAGTCTCGCTCTGTCACCCAGCTGGAATGAAATGGCACAATCTTGGCTCACTGAAACCTCCACCTCCCAGGTTGAGGTTTAGGGTCATCCCCTTTCCACTGCACCTGGCCCATTTAACATTTTGTTATTGGGGGGAAAGGGGATGATCCTAAACTCCTTCCATACTTTGTACACATTAACATATATTGAAGTCCTAACCCCAGTACCCCAGAATGTGACTATATTTGGGCAATATTTGAAACCTTTGACTCTTAAGACTTTTGCATCTGCAGGAAAGAAAAGGAAAAAAAAAGTGTTTTGGATGAATTGAAAAGGTTGTGAGGGCTGGACGCGGTTACTCAGGCCTGTGTTGCCAGTACTTTGGGAGGCTGAGGCGGGCAGATCACTTGAGATCAGGAGTTCGAGACTAGCCTGGCCAACATATTGAAACCTGGGCTCTACTAAAAATAACAAACTAGCTGGGTGTGGTGGCAGGTGCCTGTAATCCCAGCTGCTCAGAGGCTGAGGCAAGAGAACTGCTTGAACCCAGGAGGCAGAGGTTGCAGTGAGTCGAGATTCACTATTGCACTCCAGCCTGGGAGACAAAACCAGACTGTCCCAAAAAAGAGTAGACTTGCCCTCTTAAATATTAAAACACTCTATAAAGCTACATAGTTAAAATCAGGGGTAGATATTAGAAAAAGCAGAAAAGTTACACATAAAAATAGATTGGTAACAGTGAGTTTGGGTGAGGACAGTGAAAACAGGTTGCAAAAGAGAATCTGACATTCTGGTAAGGTAGACAACACACCCATTAGGTTTTAGTTCTGCTTTGATGTAACCTCATTTGAAACTGATTTTGTGTTGATTTTGAATTTAGAATGGTCTAAGATTCTTCTAAAAGTAGTCAACTATTTTAATAAAATTACCAGTTAAAAGTTAATAAATTATTGTAAATTCAGCTGTACATAGTAATTCCCTTATAAGATACATGATTATTTTATTATTTATTTATTTATTTATTTTGAGACGGAGTTTCGCTCTTGTTACCCAGGCTGGAGTGCAATGGCGCGATCTCGGCTCACCGCAACCTCTGCCTCCTGGGTTCAAGCAATTCTCCTGCCTCAGCCTCCTGAGTAGCTGGGATTACAGGCACACGCCACCATGGCCAGCTAATTTTTTTGTATTTTTAGTAGAGACGGGGTTTCACCATGTTGACCAGGATGGTCTCGATCTCTTGACCTTGTGATCCACCCGCCTCGGCCTCCCAAAGTGCTGGGATTACAGGCTTGAGCCACCGTGCCCGGCGATACATGATTATTTTAAACAGGAGTAATAATTAGTGGTGACAAAAGAGTCTGTGATAGACACTCCCCTGATATTTAAAGTTAGCTTTGAACTTTTAAAAATTATCAGTGATTGGCTTGGCTGGGCAAGGTGGCTCACGCCTGTAATCCCAGCACTTCGGGAGGCTGAGGCGGGTAGATCACCCAAGGTCATGAGCTTGAGGCCAGCCTGGCCAACGTGTTGAAACCGGGTGTCTACTAAAAATACGAAAATTAGCAGGGAGTGGTGGCATGGGCCTGTTAGTCCCAGCTACTTGGGAAGCTGAGACAGGAGAATCATTTGAACCCGGGAGGCAGAAGTTGCACTGAGCCAAGATCGGGCCACTGCACTCCAGCCTAGGCGACAGATTGAGACTCGTCTCCAAAATAAAATAAAAATTATCGGTGATTCTTGGTTGGTAAAAAAAAGTGTACACACACATTAAAAAATTAATTATAGAATTACTGCGTGTTGTTGTTTAATCCTAGCACCCAGCTGTTGGCTTGCATCCTCCTAGATTAATTCGCAAAACTGCATCTCAGCGCCCCAACCAGAGCTGTGACCCGAGGGAAGCCAAAGTGTTCTCTGCTGCGACTACTCGCTGCCATAGTAACTGAGGAAAGAGTAGCCGATGCCTGCATCTTGGTGTCCACGACCTTCGTGCAAAGTCGGTGACACCTCCAAGACCTGAAAACGGCAACAGTGCAGCCCGAGAGCGCAGCTCGGCTCTCTCCGTTTTCGCCTTCCGCGATGTCATTTTCCCCAGCGGGAAAGCGGCCTGTGGCAGAGTCGCAGTACAGCCAGGGCATTCCAAATCCAGCTGAGCCCCAAGCGACCCGGTTTTCTCATCCCAAGTCACCTTGAGTAGAACCAGAGCGGGCTCGGAGAGGTTTCCTAGTGGGCCCTAGAGGCTTCTCACCTGGGTAAGCCAGATGAGCGCGGTTAAGGAGCACAAGGGGCACACCGAAGCTCAGCCGGGTTAGATTGCGACCTTGGGCGGCTAAGAACCCGAGGTCCCACCTGCCTCGAGGTAGAGAGCCGCGCAGAGCAGAATTGGGCTGACATAGGAATGGGCATTCCCTCCCCCTCTACCTTCCAAAAAACAGACGTTATGGAAATGCAATTCTTTATTAGAATTCAAGTTTGTGTTTGCAACCATTCAACAGAAGGGGTAAAAGAAAAACAATTCACATCATCATTCTCCCACTCCCAACCCCACCTTCTGGGGCTTAAGTGTATCTGGGGCTTAACCCCTGACTGGCTCTGGTTCCAGGGCCTGAAATGCCTTTATAATCTAGTAACTGGGTCCCGGGCATCCACGTAAAACCGCTGGGTCGGTGTCTTGCTGGCAGCTTCGGGAGATCACTGGGTCCTTGACTCATTGGCAGCCTTGAGGGACTGCTGGGTCCCGACCTCCCGGACCTCCACCGAAAGCTGGGTCCCGGCCTCCCGGACCTCTACCGAACGCTGGGTCCCGGCTTCCCGGACTTCTATTGAAGATCGCTGGGTTTCGGCCTTCTGACTGGCTACATCCTGGGCGAGGGCCTCTCCTGAGCCTGGAAGAAGAGCAGTGTGCAGAGGCCACAGCTGTATCCCTATATCCTCTCTAAAAAAGGAGTCACCCATGCGGCCTGCGGGAGTCGGAGCCAGGAATCCCAGAACGCAGGTTCAATTTGGCCTTCTCGATCCGTGGCGACCAGAACCGCCCCCTCCCTCACCCACCAACCGCGGGCAGGCTGAGGGCAAGACCGCCGCCCCAGCAGCCAGGAAACCCCAGGATCACTCCTACGGAGCCAGGATTTGCTCCAGGTAGCCCTTTTCCCAACCTTGTACCTTTCGCCCGGAGCTGGCGGTGATAGTCAGCCAAGTTCATGATCATCTTGATTGTGTCCTCCTGGTAAGAAGGCCTCCCAAATATCAAGATCTCAGCCTCGCCGCTGGGGTCCAAGTGATTCACGTGAATCAGGATTTGGGACAGACCCTGAACTTGCGGGATGCGCTCTCCGCCCCTGCCTGCGCCGGGAGCACAGAAGCTGTGAGGGACGGGTAGCTCCCAGGAGTCTTGGGAGAGGAAGTTAGAAGGAGGAGACAGCCAGGGGACGTTGGCTACTGGGGAGGTTTGCCTTGGAACACGGCCAGAACATGTGGGGTGTAGGTATGGGGCAGAAAGAAGCCGCACGGGGGTTACCGGTCTCTAGTCTACTCACCGAAGATCTTTTCCACCAGCCAAACCTCAAGGTGAACTACCTTCGGATTCTTCAGAAACTCAGAGTGGAACCAGAACTGCTTGGGGAGCTGACCGAGCACCTCGAACGACGTTACTTTTGGCTGCATCAGTTGCACGAGCGTCGGAAATCGTCTGGGAGCGTCCATGCTGCCGCCGGACCTGCAGGACACCAGAGTACAACCGCAAACCCAAAGGACGAACTGGAGGTAGGCGACTAGAGTCGCGTTTACAGCTGGATCTCATTTTAAGGGCTTTTGGCCAGCCCCTCCTCTACATCCGCTCCCTTCTCATTGGATTCCAGGCGTCGCCTCCGCCTCCTAGAGCCCCGGCTTCTTCCGAGGACGCGCAAGTGCGCTGGTTTCTGGGCTGCTCTCAGAGGATTCCTCCTATCAGGAGCAGCCCTTCTCCAGCGCACCCGGTAGGAGAAACCGGGCTCTGGGCTTCAGGAATCCGGTGGAAAGCCGCGGGAGTCTTAACGATGGACTCAGGAAAGCGTGGATAAGCCCAGTATTTTTCTCAGAGGAAAGAACTGATACTTGCAGAATGAATGCTTCTTAGGTCCCCCACAGCTTCTGATCCCTGGCCACCATGTTTACTTCCTCTGGCACCAGGTTTTCAGATTATTCTGTTACCTGCCTGAGACAGCTGAGTACAGGGCAGAATAAGGGCCTTTTTTTTTTTTTTTTTTTTTTTTTTTTTTTTTTTTTTTTTAAGTTATAGGGTCTGTGTAGTGAGATTTGCATAGTAAAAAAAATAAATGGTTAGAAAAAAAAGTCATGGGATCTGGCTTTGTTGCCCAGGTTGGTTTTAAACTCTAGGGAGTTGTTTTTTTTTGTTTTTTTTGTTTTTTTTTGTTTTTTTTGTTTTTTTTTTTTTTTTTGAGACGGAGTTTCGCTCTTGTTACTCAGGCTGGAGTGCAATGGCGCTATATCGGCTCACCGCAACCTCCGCCTCCTGGGTTCAGGCAATTCTCCTGCCTCAGCCTCCTGAGTAGCTGGGATTACAGGCACGCGCCACCATGCCCAGCTAATTTTTTTGTGTTTTTAGTAGAGACAGGGTTTCACCATGTTGACCAGGTTGGTCTCGATCTCTTGACCTCGTGATCCACCCGCCTCGGCCTCCCAAAGTGCTGGGATTACAGGCGTGAGCCACCGCGCCTGGCCCTCTGGGGAGTTTTTTTTTTTTTTTTTTTTTTTAAATTCTCCCTCCTTATCATCTCCAGTAGTGGACTGTGGCTCCCTTTTAATTAATGCAGACTTGAACCCACCCAACCACAGATAGTTCCCGTGGTTTGGACACCAGAGGAGATTCCTTGAAATTTTTTGACATTTCCATTATTTTATTTTTATTTTTATTTATTTATTTTTTGAGACGGAGTGTCACTCTCGCCCAGGCTGGAGTGCAGTGGCACCGTCTTGGCTCACTGCAACCCTCTGCTGCCCGGGTTCAAGCGATTCTCCTGCCTCAGCCTCCCTAGTAGCTAAGATTACAGGCACGAGCCACCTGGCCCAGCTAATTTTTGTATTTTCAGTAGGGACGGGGTTTCACCACGTTGGCCAGGCTGATCTTGAACTCTTGACCTCGTGATTCACCTGCTTCAGCCCCCCAAAGTGCTGGGATTACAGGCGTGAGCCACCATGTTTTGTTTGTTTGTTTTGTTTTGTTTGTTTTTGAGACTCAGTTTCACTCTTGTAGCCCAGGCTGGAGTGCAGTGGCAAGATCTCGGCTCACTGCAACCACTGCCTCCGGGTTCAAGCGATTCTCCTGCCTTACCCCCGCCCCCCACCCCCCAGTAGCTGGGATTACAGACATGCACCACATGTCTGGCTAATTTTGTATTTTTTTTTAGTAGAGAGAGGGTTTCTCCATGTTGGTCATGCTGGTCTCAAACTCCCAACCTCAGGTGATCCGCCCACCTCGGCCTCCCAAAGTGTTGGGATTACAGGCGTGAGCCACCGCGCCCAGCTAAGCCACCATTTTTAAATTTGAGACAGAGTCACTCTGTGGTCACCCAGGCTAGAGTGCAGTTATGTGATTATAGCTCACCACAGCCTCCATCTCCTGGGCTCAAGAGATCCTCCCGCCTCAGCTTCCCTAGTAGGGAACCCCCCCCACCAGGCCCAGTGATGCCTCTGTTCTCTAATAATACAATTACATTTGTCTCTTTCTTCCTTCCTTTTCTTTTTCCTTTCCCCTTTCCCTTTTCCTTTCCTTCCCCACTCCCCTCCCCTCCCCCCACCTTTTTTTTTTTTTTTTTTTTTTTTTTGAGACGGAGTTTCGCTCTTGTTACCCAGGCTGGAGTGCAATGGCGCGATCTCGGCTCACCGCAACCTCCGCCTCCTGGGTTCAGGCAATTCTCCTGCCTCAGCCTCCTGAGTAGCTGGGATTACAGGCACGCGCCACCATGCCCAGCTAATTTTTTGTATTTTTAGTAGAGACGGGGTTTCACCATGTTGACCAGGATGGTCTCGATCTCTTGACCTCGTGATCCACCCGCCTCAGCCTCCCAAAGTGCTGGGATTACAGGCTTGAGCCACCGCGCCCGGCCTTTTTTTTTTTTTTTTTTTTTTTTTTTTTTTTTTTTTTTTTTTTTTGAGATGGAGTTTTACTCTTGTTACCCAGGCTGGAGTGCAATGGCGCGATCTCGGCTCACTGCAACCTCCGCCTCCTGGGTTCAAGCAATTCTCCTGCCTCAGCCTCCCAAGTAGCTGGGACTACAGGCGTGTGCTACCATGCCCTGCTAATTTTTGTGTTTTTAGTTAGAGAGGGGGTTTCACCATGTTGACCAGGATGGTCTTGATCTCTTGACCTCGTGATCCGCTGGTCTTGGCCCCCCAAATTGCTGGGACTATAGGCCTGAGCCACCGCACCTGGCTCTTTTCCCCTTCTGACAAGGTATGTTGTTCAAGCTGGTCTCAAGCAATCTTTCCCGTCTGGGCAAAATGATGAAACTGGATCGCTACAAAAAATGCAAAAATTAGCTGGGCAAGGTGGCTGGCATCTGCAGTTCCAGCTACTGGGAAGGTGGAGGTGGGACAATCACCTGAGCCCAGAGAGGTTGAGGCTACAGCTACAGTAAACTGCACTCCCCCGGGGAGTGACAGAGTAAGACCCTGTCTCAAAAAAAAAAAAGAAAAAAAACAAACAACAAACAAAAAACCTGTTTTAAATGTGTTGCTATACAATAAGTTATAATTTATAGTTCATTTTTATTCAGTATTGAAACACTAAAGAGAACTTCAGGTTTGCTACATTAATAGGCTGAATGTATATATTCAGACCTCACCCAGACGACTGAATATATTTGATACATAGGAATGATTTAGTCATTGGGAAGTTCTTACTTGCTAATTGAGACAATTAAAGTATTTTGTAAAACAACAAGAAAAAACAACCACATTAAAGACTGAGCAAAGCTGGGTGAGGTGGCTCACACCAGGAGTTCTAGAGGAGCTTGGCCAACAGGCGAAATCCCTTCTCTACTAAAAATACAAAAATGAGCCAGGCGTAATGGTGGGCACCTGTAATCCCAACTACTCAGGAGGCTGAATCAATTGAATCCCAGAGGCGGAGGTTGCAGTGAGCCAAGATCGTGCCACTGCATTACAGCCTGGGGGATAGAGTGAGACTCTATCTCCACAAAACAAACAAAACAAAACAAAAAACAAAAAACAAAAAATTGGGAAAATAACAACAAGAGATGGGCTGGGTGCGGTGGCTCAAGCCTGTAATCCCAGCACTTTGGGAGGCCGAGGCCGGTGGATCAGGAGGTCAAGAGATCGAGACCATCCTGGTCAACATGGTGAAACCCCGTCTCTACTAAAGATACTAAAAAAGGGCCGGGTGCAGTGGCTCAAGCCTGTAATCCCAGCACTTTGGGAGGCCGAGGCCGGTGGATCACGAGGTCAAGTGATAAGACCATCCTGGTCAACATGGTGAAACCTCGTCTCTACTAAAAATACAAAAAAATTAGCTGGGCATGGTGGCACGTGCCTGTAATCCCAGCTACTCAGGAGGCTGAGGCAGGAGAATTGCCTGAACCCAGGAGGCGGAGGTTGCGGTGAGCCGAGATCATGCCATTGCCCTCCAGCCTGGGCAACAAGAGCCAAACTCCGTCTCAAAACAACAAACAAACAAACAAACAAAAAAACAACAAGAGATGTTTCTCAAAGAAGAAATACAAGCAGCCAACAAACATATAAAAAAATGCTCAGCACCACAAATCAGAAGAGGAATCCAAATTAAAATCACACCAGGATACCATCATACATCAATCACAAAGGCTTTTTTTTTTTTTTTTTGAGACGGAGTTTCGCTCTTGTTACCCAGGCTGAAGTGCAATGGCGTGATCTCAGCTCACCGCAACCTCCGCCTCCTGGGTTCAGGCAATTCTCCTGTCTCAGCCTCCTGAGTAGCTGGGATTACAGGCATGCGCCACCATGTCCAGCTAATTTTTTGTATCTTTAGTAGAGACGGGGTTTCACCATGTTGACCAGGACGGTCTCGATCTCTTGACCTCGTGATCCACCCGCCTCGGCCTCCCAAAGTGCTGGGATTACAGGTTTGAGCCACCTCGCCTTGCTTTTTTTTTTTTTTTTTTTTTAGACAAGAGTCTCACTCTGTTACCAAGGTTGTAGTGCAATGGAGCAATCTCGGCTCACTGCAACCTCTGCCTCCCAGGTTCAAGCAGTTCTCCTGCTTCATCCTCCCAAGTCGCTGGGACTATAGGCACCTGCCACCATGACTGGCTAACTTTTTTTTTTTTTTTTTTTAATTCACCTGAGTGCAGGTGGACTAATGCCAAAAAGGGCGTTAGCTGTTTTGTTTTTGTTTTTTGTGTTTTTTTTGTATTTTTTTTTTTAGTAGAGACAGGGTTTCACCATATTGACCAGGCTGGTTTCAAACTCCTGACCCTGTGATCCGCCCGCCTCAGCATCCCAGAGTGCTGGGATTACAGGCCTGAGCCACCGCATCTGGCCTCACAAGGCTTTTATTAAGAAGTCAAAAAATGGGCCAGGAATGGTGGCTCACACAGGTAATCCTAGCAATTTTGGAGGCAGGCGTTGGTACATCACCTGAGGTCAGGTGTTTGAGACCATCCTGGCCAACACAGTGAATCCCCATCTCTACAAAAAATATAAAACTTAGGCTGTGCGCGGTGGTTCACACCTGTAATCCTAGTACTTTGGGAGGCCGAGGTCGGTGGATCACCTGAGGTCAAGAGTTCAACACCAGCCTGACCATCATGGTGAAATCTCATCTTTTAAAAATAATAGTAATAATAAAAAAATTTTTTTAAATGTAGCCTGGCATGGTGGCACAGGCCTGTAATCTCAGTGACT